TTAAAGTTGCTATTTTAAGTCTTGTGGACTTCAATCCCCTGAATTCTCCAGCCAGCCATATTGGGTCAAGAATTCTGGGAGTTGAAGTCCGCACGTCTTAAAGTTGCCAAATTAAAGTTGCTACTTTAAGACGTGTGGACTTCAACCCCCAGAATTTCCCAGCAAGCCATGTTGGGTGGGGAATTCTGGGAGTTGAAATCCACACATCTTAAAGTTGCCAAGTTTGTAGATCCCTATCTTAGGTTGGCAAGAGATCCCTTGCCTTCATCATATTCATCTAGAGCAGTGGTTCTCAACCTGTGGGTCGGGACCCCATTTGGAGTCGAACGACCATTTCACGGGGGTCGCCAAACAACGCAGTCTGCCATTTTTCCCCCTTTTCCTTAGCTGTGCTACTCCCTTTTATTCTATTGGCTTTTGAAAGCCAATAGAATAGACTCTCTTGAATAGAGTCTAATTCTGTTGGCGTTCAAAAGCCAATAGGAATTGTCCAGGCTGTCTCTGCCCTGCTGAGCCCGCCAAAAGTCCCATTCTGCAAACGGTGCTGCACCAGTTGAGTAGTCCTCGACTTACGACCAGTTGAGTAGTCCTCGACTTACGACCGGTTGGGGGTCACGGCATTAAAAAGGTTGAGGACCACTGATCTAGAACAAATGAATATTGTGGGGTCCTTGGTGGTCTCTGGGCTTGGTTGTTTTCTCCCAGGCATTTTATTACCTGACTAGGTAACATCCCAGGGCTGGCTCTGGTAGCTACAAATATTTCCCTCTATTGATACCAAATGGATATTCTTGAATACGTGTCTTCCATTTTGCTGCAGGGTTCTGCTCGCCGCAAGGTCTCCACTATGGATTATGTTTTTGACATGTACATACGACGCTTCCTTGGCTTTTATTAATACATAGACTATCTGAGCTGTTGGGCTGAAGTCAGACTTGTGGGAAACTCTCTGCTTAGTTAGCAGCTTATGTCAAATAGCAATTCTTTGCTTTGTTTTGTTGTTGTTGTTCAGTCGCTAAGTCATGTCCGACTCTTCGCGACCCCATGGAGCACAGCACACCAGGCTCTCCTTTCCTCCGTTGTCTCCCAGAGTTTGCCAAAGTTCATGTTCACTGTGATACCGTCTCACCATCTCCTCCTCTGCCATCCCCTTCTCCTTTTGCCTTCCATCTTTCCCAACATCGGGGTCTTTCCCAAGGAATCCTCATTTGGTGGCCAAATCATTTGAGCTTCAGCTTCAGCCTCTGTCCTTCAGTAGTAAGAACGCATCCCCCAATCCCAAGTCTCTCTGCCCCAGCCAGAAATTCAGCAAGCCAAGTCTGTACAAAATGCAGATTTGATAATCCTTCAGAAAGACTGGAGCCAGGAAGCAGGGAGCTGATGGGATTAGAAAGACAAAGAACCAACAACCCCTTCCCCATCCAACACAGGACATAGCCATCAGCCCCAGTCCCAGGGAAGCAGGACATGACCTTTAGGACATATTAGGATTAACCCACCGCCATCAGAATACAAAAAGAGCACACTCAGCCTCAGGTCAAAGTACATGACACAGGAAATACAAAGTCTCAAACAGGAACAATTCCAAACACAAAAGCCCAAGAAGGTATAAAAACCCACCACTCCCAGCCACATGTGATCAGATGCTCCAGAGCCACATATCTTCTGGTTCTGCTCTTCAATAAACGACAACTTTATTTCCTAAAGCAGTCTCCATTTTTGTTTATTCCTGGCTTGGACTGGACCCTGAGGAAGATTTTTCTTTCAACACTTCCAAAGAACAGCCAGGGTTGAGTTTGAATCTCTTTAGGATCTGTGCTTTGTGGGGCATGCTAATTCTCACTTGGATCAGTGGCTCTTGTTCTCGCCTCTCCCTTCAGATTGTCTGTGAGCTCGGCTGCACTCTTTAACATTTTCTTATTAATAGATGGAGACAGGGAAGCATGCCTAAGAGGAAGAGCAGTTTAATTGCAAAGTGGAAGCTCTCCACATTTTCAGAATTAGCAAGTCCATATCAAAAGTTACAAATCTCTCTTTGCCACTATGGGGTTGCAATGTAGGACATTAAAAAAAGAAGAAGAATATTTCAAGGATTTGTCCCACCTGTAGAGTCCTTAGTGCCCCCTGAACTTGGCTGTTTGCTTACAGACATTTCATTACCCACCTATGTAACATCATCAGTGCTAGAGGGTGTGGGGTGTGCTCCTTGGCAACACTGGCCATGCAAGCCGCTGTATATAAACAAAGAAACCAACACCACCAACATCACTCAAAAGTCAATGGGGACGCCAGATTCACTCAACAGCCATGTTGCTAACTTGACAACTGCAGTGATTCACTTAGGACAGTGGTGGCGAACATATGGCACGGGTGCCAGAGGCGGTACTTGGAGCCCTCTCTGCGGGCACACGTGCTGTTGCCCCAGCCTTGCCTCCCCCCAGGACCTCCTCCTCTCCAGCAGCCCCCCTGGAGGAGAGTCACCCCCAAGCGTGGCCCACATGGAGCAGCGCAGCCAGGCAGTGTAGACAAGACTCTGCCCGCACACCCCATTGCGCACAGTTGATCCTGCGGGGCGCAGGCAAAGGGCATGACCACCATAGCGCTGCTGGGCTGCCTGGGCGATCTGCGGCGAGCCCTGGAGGCGGTGAGTGACCTTGTGGGCAGGCGGGGAGGGGATGGTGGGGTGGGGCAGGGGCGGGGCAGGGGGCAGGGTCAGTTTTTGGGCACTCGGTCTCTAAAAGGTTTGCCATCACTGACTTAGGAACTGTGGGAAGAAAGGTTGTAAAGTGAGCCAAAGCTCACTTTGCAACTGCCTCACTTAGTAACCATTGAGGGCTCCGTTGTGGTCGTAAGTCAAGGACATCAGAGCCTTCTCGCAGATCCCTGGGTTGCGCTTTGTGACTAAATGCAAGGACATCCCACGCCACCGAGGCAAACTTCACAAGAAAGCCTTCTTCTCTTTTGAAATGATTTTTCCTAGGTTGAATGTAAACGGGTAAAGGGCAAAACCAAACAAATAACCCCGAACAGAACTCTCTGGCTGGTATTTTGCCAATTACCCCCCCCCCATCCACGATTCAGCAATCTGGTGGCAGCTATCTTTAGAAAGCTTCTCTACAACGTTGGCCAGCCAGATCGAATGCTTTGAATCTAGGATACTAGTACGTAATAGTAATAGTAGTAAAGTTGGAAGGGACCTTGGAGGTCATCTAGTCCAACCCCCTGCTCAGGCAGGAAACTCTACACCATTTCGGACAAGTGGCTGTCCAGTCTCTTCTTAAAAACTTCCAGTGTTGGAGCATTTACCGCTTCTGGAGGCAGGCTGTTCCGCTGGTTAATTGTTCTGACTGTCAGAAAGTTTCTCCTTAGTTCTAGGTTGCTTCTCTCCTTGATGAGTTTCCACCCGTTGCTTCTTGTCCTGCCTTCAGGTGCTTTGGAGAATAGCTTGACTCCCTCTTCTTTATGGCAGCCCCTGAGATATTGGAATACTGTTATCATGTCCCCCCTCGTCCTTCTCTTCGTTAAACTAGACATACCCAATTCTAGCAACCGTTCCTTATATGTTTTAGCCTCCAATCCCCTAATCATCTTCGTTGCTCTTCTCTGTACTCTTTCTAGAGTCTCAACATCTTTTACACACTCAGGCAAGGTGTACAACAAGGTCTCGGTTGCTATTGTTAGGTCCCTCCACTTTGCTGCCGGTCCTTCTGCAGAATACCAAAGTTGGAAGGGATCTTGGAGGTCTTCTAGTCCAACCCCCCCCCCCCCGTGCTTAAGCAGGAGATTCCATACCATTCCTGAGAAATGGCTGTCCAATCTCTCCTTTAAAGCCTCCACTGATGGAGGATGCACAACGTCTGAAGGCAAGCCATTCCATTGATTGATTGTTCTCACTGTCAGGAAATTTCTCCTTAATTTTAGGTTGGAATTCCCCTCTCCCTCGTTACTTCTTGCCCTGCCTTCAGGTGCTTTTTAGGGCGGATATGCCGGCCTATCTGTGATAGGAAGCTGGTAAAGAAAGAAATCCATTACAAGTAGTCCTCAATTTACAACCATTCGTTTGCTAACCATTTGTTACAACAGCACTGAAGAAACGTACAATTGGTACGGACGCTTGCCACCATTGAGGAAATCAGGAACTGAGAGGCCTGATTTGGCAATTGCGTGGTGTGTGTGTGTGTGTGTGTGTGTGTGGGGGGGGGGGGGGGTTTTTTCAACCTGGGCAACTTTAAGATGTATGGACTTCAACTCCCAGAATTCTCCAGCCAGCGACTTGTCTGTTGCTTAGTGTCAGTGAATATATACATTAGACCAGTGTTTCCCAGCCAGTACATGCGGACTTCAGCTCCCAGAATTCCCCAGCCATTATGTGAGGACTTCAACTCCCAGAATTCTCCAGCCAGCGATTTGTCTGTTGCTTACTGTCAGTGAATGTATGCATCCAGAGTTAGACCAAGGTTTCCCAGCCAGTATGTGCGGACTTCAGCTCCCAGAATTCCCCAGCCATTATGTAAGGACTTCAACTCCCAGAATTCCCCAGCCATTATGTGAGGACTTCAACTCCCAGAATTCTCCAGCCAGCGACTTGTCTGTTGCTTAGTGTCAGTGAATGTATGCATCCAGTGTTTCTCAACCTTGACAATTTTAAGGCATGTGGACTTCAACTCCCAGAATTCCACAGCCAGCAATGCTGGCTGTGGAATTCTGGGGGTTGAAGTCCACATACCTTAAAATTGTCAAGGTTGAGAAACACTGATTTAGACCAAGGTTTCCCAGCCAATATGTACGGACTTCAGCTCCCAGAATTCCCCAGCCATGATGTGAGGACTTCAACTCCCAGAATTCCCTTGCCATCACGCTGGCTGGGGAATTCTGGGACTTGACATTCCTCACATCTTAGTTGTCCAGGTTGAGAAGTACTACTTTAGAGGATTGCTCTCTGTCTCCCTCTTGTGGTGCCCTGGAGGCTGACCTCACTCTCTGCTCTCTGCTCTCTGCAGTGGCTGTGGACAATACGTTGCACGTGGAGTGGACCGAGGCGAAATCCTTGCCTGCCCTCTCATCCTTGGGCCACACTCGGACCTCACTGGTGCGCAGGTTGGTGCGTCAGAACTCTGTGGACAGCCAGGACTTTCTCGAGGTGCCTGTTTTAATTGCTCTCCTCGTAGGCCCACCGTTCTTTTTGCACAGGGTGCCACAAACAGGGCGATTCAGCCACGGGTGCTGAGAGAAGCAACAAATCCTCCTGTTGGAAGGGGCCGGGGAGGTGGTCTAGTCCAACCCCTGCCCAGGGGCAAGGGATCCCAGCTGGAGGAGCCTCCCTAGTGGGTTGTCTGCTGGAATGTCTCCATCCGATCCAAACTCGCCAACTTTGTTGGCTGGGGGATTCTTGCTGTCCTCTCGGGCTTACGGGGGTTTTTTTCCCCCCGTTTGGCAAGGAGGTGGGAAAAATGGACCCTGGTGATGCCCGGCTGAAGGGTGAGACGTACGCCGGGGTTGTGTTCACACGACAGGCTGAAGCAGCTCGGCTAGACCGAGCGACCGGTTGGTGCATCTGCGGATTTGAAATGATTGGTTTCTGTGCGCTCGTGCTCAACCTGGGCAAATTTAGTTCTGCTAGATTAGCTCACGGTTCCGTATAATGTGTGAGTCCCGAAAATAAAAACAAACCAGTGTATGAACATTCCCTTCCAGTGTATTGCCCCCCAAAAGTCATCTCCTCCTCCTCCTCCTCCTTCCCCTCCTCCCTCCTTCCTCCTCCTCCTCCTTCTCCTCCTCCTCCCCCTCCTTCTTCTCCTTCTCTTTCTCCTTCTCCTTCTTCTCCTTCTCCTTCTCCTCTCCCCTTCCCTCCTCCTCGTCCTCCCCTCTCCCCTCCTCCTTCTCCTTCTCTTTCTCTTTCTCCTTCTTCTCCTCCTCTACCCTTCCCCTCCTCCTCCCCTCCCCCTCCTTCTTCTCCTTCTCCTTCTCTTTCTCCTTCTCCTTCTTCTCCTTCTCCTCTCCCCTTCCCTCCTCCTCGTCCTCCCCTCTCCCCTCCTTCTTCTCCTTCTCTTTCTCTTTCTCCTCTTCTCCTCCTCTTCTCTCCTCCTCCTCCTCCCCTCCCCCTCCTTCTTCTCCTTCTCTTTCTCCTTCTCCTTCTTCTCCTCCTCTCCCCCTTCCTCTCCTCCTCCTCCTCCCCCCTCCTTCTTCTCCTTCTCCTTCTCCTCTCCCCTTCCCTCCTCCTCGTCCTCCCCTCTCCCCTCCTCCTTCTCCTTCTCTTTCTCTTTCTCCTTCTTCTCCTCCTCTCCCCTTCCTCTCCTCCTCCTCCTCCCCTCCCCCTCCTTCTTCTCCTTCTCTTTCTCTTTCTCCTTCTTCTCCTTCTCCTCTCCCCTTCCCTCCTCCTCGTCCTCCCCTCTCCCCTCCTTCTTCTCCTTCTCTTTCTCCTTCTCCTTCTCCTCCTCCTCCCCTCTTCCTTCTTTTCTCCCCTTCCCCTCCTCCTCCTCCTTCTCCTTCTCCTCCTCCTCCTCCTCCCCCCTTCCCCTCCTCCTCCCTCCGTCCTCGTCCTCCTCCTCCCCCTCCTTCCCCCTTCCTCTCCTTCTCCTCCTCCTTCTCCTCCTACACTCCCCTTCCCCTCCTCGTCCTCCCTCCCTCGTCCTCCTCCCCCTTCCCCTCCTTCTTTTCCTTCTCCTTCTCCTTCTCCTTCTCTCCTTCTCCTCCCCCTTCCCCTTCCCCTTCTCCTCCCCCTTGTCCCCCTCCTCCTCCTCCTCCTCCTTTCTGGAAGATCCATTACCAGCTTTAAATTGTTTGCTTTTTATATACAAAAATCATAGCATGCTTTTTTAGCCTTTATACACCACTCAGGATGCCTAGCAGCAATTGTATCTGTTTGAAAAATAAGATAATTCAACCCCACAAAAGGCAAAGTGCGAACAATAATGTAAAAGAAATAATGTAATTCTGCCCCTTTTAAAGGACGTTTGCCCATGTTTCAGAGCGAAGCTATGAAACATGTGGAAAGCATGAAATCACTTGTGTCACAATATCATTTTGCAAACGATGCAGGATGCAGCGGCATCATACAGCCCCTTGACAGCCCCTTGACCCTTGTAGGAAGTAAGGAGGATGACTGACAGATACACGTGAGAGATACATGTGTATTAAAGGCAGTCCTTGACTTATAGCCAAGGTTATGACAGACCTTTTGACAGGATGGCAGCGTTTCCATATCTAAGGAGCGGCCACAGAGAAGGAGGGGTCAACCTGTTCCCCAAAGCACCAGAGGGCAGGACAAGAAACAATGGAGGGAAACTCTTCAAAGAGAGAAGCAACCTAGAACTAAGGAGACATTTCCTGGCAGTGAGAACAATTAACCACTGGAACGGAAGCCGAAGTTGTGGGTGCTCCATCACTGGAGGATTTTAAGAGGAGATTGGACAGCTATTTATCTGACATGGCCCAGGGTTTCCTGCTTGAGCCAGGGAGTTGGACTAGAACAGAGGTCCCTAACCTTTTGGGCACCAGGGACTGGTTCCACGGAGAGAGGTTTTGTGCGTGGTTTTGTGTGCTGCCTGCATCCCATGGATGGGGCTTTGCTTGTTTGTGTGGACGAGTTGCTGGCATGCCGCGGGCCGGTACTGGTCCACGGACCGGGGGTTGGGGAACCCTGGACCAGAAGATCTCCTAGTTCCCTTCCAACTCTATTATTTATTTATTTATTTATTTATTTATTTATTTATTTATTTATGAGACTTATATACTGCTTTAAGTGCAAGCACTCTCTAAGCAGTGTACACCAGTAAGCAATGTGTGTGTGTGTGTGTGTGTGTATATATATATATATATATATATATATATATATATATATATATATATATATATATATATTTACATTGCCCCCAACAATCTGGGTCCTCATTTTACCTACCCCGGAAGGATGGAAGGCTGAGTCAACCTTGAGCCGGTGAGATTTGAACCGCTGACCTGCTGAACACAGCCAGCTAAAGTAGCCTGCAGTACTGCACTCTAACTGCTGCGCCATCTCGGCTCATATTATGCTGTTAGACCAGACATGTTAAACTCGCGACGTCATGTGACGTCGCGCGACGTATCGGAGCTTTTTTTCCCATTGCCGGCAATGCGGTTTCCTGGTGACACATCCGGCCCGCGGGCCAGCAGTTTGACACCCCTGTGTTAGAGCTACTTACGACCCAGTTTCAAAGTTCTGACTGCCGCCATCTGGAGAGATTCCTCTATTACAGGCAGAAAACAATAAAGTAGTGTGCTCGAACTCTGCGTGTGTGGATCCGATTGCTTGCGCCTGACATAAACTTCGTCTGATGAGAAGATACTGAGGACTAGCGTCAGGGAGTATATTTAAGCCTTAAGAAAGATCGAAGGGCTTTTTGGATTAAGATTTGGTGGAACATTCAAAAGATTTTCAAGAGAAAGATAAAGTTTTTCCCACAATTATTTTTGTTAGGCATTATTGTAGATTGCGATGCTAAAGAAACTATTTTAATGTTGAATCTTATTACGGCTGCAAAGTTACTGGTTGGGCAATATTGGAGGAAAGATTTTTTGCCCACTATAGAAGAATGGTCGCTTCAAGTTTCTAATTTAGCAGAAATGGCCAAAATTTCTGCTTATTTGAAGGATCATTCACAAGAAAGATACATCTCGGTGTGGAGAAGATGGATAAATTATGTACAGAATAAATATGGGATTAGAAAGTATTCATTTAATTTTTGAATAACTTATAGTTTAAAGTGGGAATTGTTTATATTGTTATTTTTGTTTTTCTTTAAATTTTTTTTGTATTTGAGTTAAAGTATTTTATGATTTTGGTTATTGGTATAGTTGGATAAGCTTAGTTAGAATTTGTTTGCTTTTTTGTAACCCTGTAATCAGCTCTGGGAAGTGAGGGAGGGGGTTAGGGTTAGGGTGGGGGGGAGGGAGAGAGGGATATTATATTGTATTGTAATAATTTGTATAAAACTTTTCAATAAAAAAAAGAAAGATCGAAGGGCATAGTGTGTGTGTCAGCCTTTTGAAGTAGACCAGAGCAGGAAACTAAAAACGTGTCGTTTTTAAATTTTTAAGAAGAGATTGGACAACTGTTTGTCTGAAATGGTGTAGGCCGTGTTCTGCCTGAGCAGGGGGTTGGACTAGAAGACCTCCAAGGTCCCTTCCAAGCCTCTTATTCTGTTGTTCTGTAGGCAATGTTACTTTGATTATAAAGGTATAATAACAGACTCCTCCCTCCCTCCCTTTATCTTCATGACAACTGGGGAGGGGCTTGTTTGAGACAGTTTTTCTCACATTACAGTTCTATCCCAGATTCAGGTTTCTGTTATCTGACTTTTATCTTAATACTGGCTCTTTCTCCTGCTGCTCAAGGTCATTGCTCCTACTTATTACACTAGGATCCCATTTGGGAAGTTCTTAAAGGGACATCACCCAGAAGATGGTCCCAACCAATTCATGCTCAATGATGATGATGGATGACGATCAAGTTGACCATCAAGTTGATCACCGTGAACAACTCAGCAGGCAGAATAATTGCTTTATTTTGCAGGGCAATTTCTCGTCTGATATTATGGGAAGTGTGGTTGTTGAAGCATTGCTACCTGGGATCCTCTCTTCTGGATCCTGGATGCTTTGGTGCGGGTCCTGCTCCAAGGAAGGGGTGGATTCGGTGTTTTATACGATCTCTTCCAAGTTCCTATGAGGAAATGTGCTTAATTTTAAATTTGGTATTGTTGTTTTTTCTTGTGTTAGTTGAGTTGGTTGAGTGACCCAAGAGTGGTTAGTTTACGATTAGGTGCGTGGTGGTTAACCCATCTGGCTGAGGACGATGGTGTTAAAGTTCAAAATGCTGAGAAGATGCTAAATGAGAGTTTTAGAATGGTGTCAACGGTGTTTAAGTGGCTGGGTTCACACAAACTACCAAAGACGGCTAAAATAAGGTTTGAAAAGTTTGTTACTCAGCATGCTATTAGAAAGCAACTTCTCTCTTCGTAGAATAGGTTGTTTCTTCCAGATGAGTTTAATGAAGAGAAGGACAAGGGGGGACATTATAGCAGTGTTCCAATATCTCAGGGGCTGCCACAAAGAAGAGGGAGTCAAGCTATTCTCCAAAGCACCTGAAGGCAGGACAAGAAGCAA